CAGGAATGCTACATAAGTGACATTGTGTTCTCACTGCATCATATCAGGGGTCATATGATGTCATCTTATTTCATTATTGGTGATTTAAGTGTTGATCAGTTGGTTCAGGTGATATCCATCAAATTTTTCTGCATTTTTCTCTTCCTAATAAGTAATCTGTAGGGAGATACTTTGAAACTGTTAATATCCTGTTCCCTGACAGATTTTCACAGATTGTGAATTCTTGTCTAAATCAATTACTAGTTTGAAGTAAATAAATCTTTATTATGGAAAAGGAGAGATTTTTCTCTTTTAATCAGTTATATACTTCTGTTTCATTTGACCTCTTCCTGTGAATGAGAGTTATCTGTACTCAATGTTGTCACTGTATTTTTATGTGTTTTTACCTCCCATGCCACTCCTCATCCCATTTCCTCTGGCTTCTGCCCCAGCCATTCTCTAGAGACTCTCTCACCAAAGATTTCCATGGCAATGGACAATTCTCACTTCTCTTGCTTAATTTTGCAGCCACGTATGACATGGTTGACCATGTCCACCTTCTTGAAACCATTTTTCTCCTGGCTTCTACCTGAGTCTACCTTCTCCTGGTTTTCCTCTTGCATCTCTGGCCATCCCTTTTCAGTCTCCTTTGCTGGCTTTCTTGCTACCCAGTCCTTAAATGCTGGAGTTCTTTAGGGCTCTATCCTAGGCTCTATTTTCAATCTGCACATTCTGTATCGATAATCAGGCTTTTTGGTACCTTGAATTGCCACTTCTATGCCCTTAATATTAAATTGTAAAGGCTGGAATGAATTTCATCAATATCTTAACAGTAATTATATCTGTGTGGAGGGATTATGGGTGATTTTTATAATTCCACCATTTTTTTCCAAATTCTCTACCAAAAAATATGTATTATCTTAGTACACCTTAGACTCAACCTACTCAATATGTAATTCATCCAAACCTGTTCCTCTTCTCACATTCTCTATTTTAGTAATTCGATCCATCAGTCCACTTGGTTGCTGAAACCCTGACTCTCTACTCTCCATTATCTTTGACTCTTTACTTTCCCCTTGTACCAGTGTTTGATTCTATCCCTCCACCATGTACTCAGTCTACAAGTTTTGTCAGTTTTACCTTATAAATACTTCTCTAATTTATCTACTCTCTATTTGTATTGCTACTATTCTGGGCCAAGCAATTATCATCTGACTTTTCACTATACCCTTTCTTACATTTTGAAATTTGAATCATACCTGTTTTGCTTGATTGAAAAAATACTTGCTAAAGGTTTTAAAAAGAAATCCTAGTAATCCATTGTCATTCAAAACAGATAACCATCAATTTAGATCATTATACTCAAGTTCATAGAGAATTACAAAGATGGATATCCCAGGAAAATGAAAAACAGGAGTATCATCCTGTCAGTTCTGTTTCAAAGTTTAGGGTGTTAGAAATTACTTAGCATGTAATAGCAAGTCTGTGTGTCTTGCTCTGGGCAACTGCTCATTTCATATCTCAGTGAAGGATTCAACATTTCCCTAAATGTTAACTCAGTCTTTTTGTGTGTGATTATTGCGGTATTGTAGGTGGAGATGGAAGATTTTGATGCAAATATTGAAGAACAGAAGGATGAAAAGAAAGATGCAGAGGAAGAGGAAAGCGAACTGGTAGGAGACAGAACAACCACTTTGAACAAAGTGTCTCTTTATTAAAATTCTTAAGGGTTTAAATTCAGCTCTGTGATCAGATGACTATTGTTGATATTGCACCTTAATGGTAAAAGTTTCCATAATCATCTTCAAGGAGACTTTTGGATACTTTTTGTTTTTCCCCTGACCAAAGGAAAAGAACCCTTTACTGTGTTGTTACAAGAAAATTTTTAGAATGCTAAGAAACTTACCCTTGTACTCACTCATCTATTTGTGGGTGGCTCTAGGGGAATACACTTTTTAAGAAAATCGATTACATTTGAAAGGGTATTCTTACATTCCAGCAGATACGTGGTACAGCCTACCCAATGTATGCATAATTGTCTCTTCTTCGCTATAAGAGCTCAAAATTGATTTTCTATAAACTGAGGCAGAAGAACTTATTGAATGAGGAGGCAGAGGGTTGCCACTGACTGCTGGATTTGTTCTTCCGCATTTTATCCTATTAAGTGATGGGGAAAATGATTTGACTGTGTAGGCAATGCATTTTGCTTAGGCTGATTAAAGGCTTACGTAGTGCGAATTCAAAGATCCCGTGTACCTACTGTAAATGCTTTTGATCACACCTCTGTAGTGATGTCTGCCTTACCCTGTCATTCAAGAATATGCGACCTATAGACTTACGTTATTTTCAGTGTTTGCTAATGGGGTACAGAGATTAGCAGTGCCTTGGAATAGTGTTGCTTTTTAAATTCAAAATATTATTTGTTTTATTTAATACTTCAGCCCTTGCTAAAGCTGCTTTTCATATTCTTCTGAAAATGTGCAAAGCGAGAACCCTGATTCCTAACCCCTAGAGAATACATTCTCTCTAAGGAGTGGTCCCATCAACCCATGTGTGTTATAGAGGACTCTGAATAGAAACTGTGTGTTTGCATAGAGATGGTGTCAATCTCTACATTCCTAGATTTCATATGTGGATTAAAAAATAAGCTTTAAAGTTAATGGCATTTGAGTCTCCTATGTTTTTTTTTTCTTTAAACAAAGTATTTTTATTAATTAGGTTGTATTTTGACATACATGATCTAAGATGTAGGCAGGAAATTCACTTAAAGGTCCACGCTGTCCTGGAATATGGCTAATGACCAGTTTAGCTACTTGCAGCGTGTGTACTAGCAATCGATCATGTGAGAAGTCTCTAATGTTAGCTTTCTGAAGCTCTGTCTTCGTTTTGTGGAGATTTCAGTTCAGCATATGGTTCATAACATCTGACTTGCTTAGGTGTAGGTCAAAACTTGGAACTTTTAATTGAATGTACTATTATTTTGAAAAGTGAAACACACTGTAATACTATATTTTTTCATCAGAAACATGGCAGTGAAGCCTTAGAACTCTACCCCGCTGAACTATCTCTTTTATTTCCAAGTAGCCTAATATTTCAAACAGTGAGAAAACGATTTTAAGTTTTAAGGAAGAAAAAGGTGGTTCCAGCAGGGGGAAATTAATGTACTCATTTTGCTTATCTTTATGTTATAAACCTTCTCTTAACCTTTTTTCAAAATGCAGAATCGAGATCTTCTACTATTGGGTTCTATTCCAAGAGTAAAAGATTCTTGGAGAATTGACCCTTGGAAAGGGTTAAGAGCAAGTCTTGTGTCATTCAGAACATTTTAATGGAATTTTCACTGAACTTTACATTTTCTACTCTGTACTGATTACTATAGCTGGGTGAAATCCAAACTTTTCTTGGTTAAGAGACTCCTTTGGGGGGATCATTGGTATGATATTTTGTCTTCTTTAGTGCTTCAGTGAACCTCATAGATCTGACTCAGAATTTATAAATATATTATTCTAGTGATGTTTAAGGTTTCCAGATGAGTTTTTGAGATACAGCTGTACAAATTCCATCAGTACTAAACTTTTAGCACCATCATTTCAGCCTTTGTCTTGGTTTGTTCTAAACATGTATTTGGAAAGGATGGTATAATTTATAATCTGAAATACTACCTAATTAGTTGAAATTGAATTATTAGTCTGGCTTAAAGACTAGAAATGTATGAAACCTGTAGATTTCCTGGAAGAATGATGATGCTCTAGTACACTCTTACACAGAAGCTATTGTCATGAAATGTTCAACATACTTTCCAACTTTACCTGTGTGTCAGTCTGTTCTATGAACTTGAACATTCCCAATAGTAGAAAGATATATGGATTCTTAAAAGAAGATGCTGACACCTTTGATGAATCTGTCCTATATGATAAGTCCTAATATTAAAGTTCTGTATGTTAAGACCTAATAGAGAACGGAGTCCAAATGAAGGAAAGGGGGAATCAGTGAATTATGTGGAAAAAGCATACACTTGCTAGGTGAATAAACTGAAAGGCTTACTACATAGCTAAATAGGTACATTGTGAAATTTGAAAATCTTATGTAGGACTTCGTTTGAAATAAACCACCCAGTTATTTTATTAAATAAGATATAAATTGCCTGTGGAGATTTCTGGGTTTTCATATAATAGAAAGATGTAATTTTTAAAAAGACATCAGAAATAATAATCTAGTTTCCAACTGATGAAAAAGTAATGCTCTGAAATTGATTCAGTAAAATTAGTCTTTGTAAGATCTAACTGGTAAATGGATTGAGTCATTTTAAAATGAAGTTGAACTTCATAATTGTGTTCAGTGATACCAAGTTTTCTCACTTCTTTTGAGTATCTAAAAGTACACTGGAATATAAAGTAACTGTCTTGAAGAACACTCTTTGGACCTCATGGCTACTATCACTTGATAATAGCAGTTGTATTTAGAAAATAACCTAGCTAGTATTATAAATTCTCTGCTACTCTGAATGATATTAATTGAGCACAGTAACTACCATACATTCTTACCGTATTGGCTATATAGCTGTTGTTCAGACTACAGTTGTGTGTCCTGAACTGTAGTTTCCGCCAAGCGCCTTCATGATACCACTCTAAAGTGACTATTCTGAAATCTGGGCAGTGAAGTTTGGTGAATTTGGTAATTCAGTTTCTTCAAAGATAATGAGACTGTGTTTTCCCTCAGGATATATTTATAAATAGTGAGTGGAAACTGAATCCATTCCCAATTTTAATGCTTTTCCAATTCAAAAGTGATGTGCATGTATGTGTCTCTTTCTAACCCTTCGAGCTTCTCTCTGTGTACGATTTAGGGTTACATTCCGAAAAGCAAATGGGAGATGGACACATCTGAGGCAAAGCTAGGTGGGTATTTCCTTTTTCCTGTTTTTATATGTGATACCTGATGGTAATGGTCATAGATCTTTCTGCTATAAGAAGAACAAATTTCCCCAAATTTCTGCTTAAATGAAGATTTTTTGGCCTACCTTACATCCTCAGTCTATTTTGTTGGCTTTCATTTATGTCTTGTGACAGAGTGAAAGAAGAGTATTTTAAAAGAACTACCTTCGGTACCACTTAAGGTTTTTAGAGTAAATGGAAATATGTGATAAATTTAGTAATAAAACACTGTCACTTATAAAATCCATTCATTTATATTAATCAGAAATGTTGGTGTAGGTGAGGTTTCTACTTTTAAAAAAAAATATTTAACTGCAGTCCAAAGTTGAACCTGATTATGAATACTTTGGGTAATAGTGGTAGTAATAATAATAAATATTGAAGTTTAAAAATTAATTAAAAGGCAGTTATTTTCCTTGTATAATAAATTAGAGTTTCTGAGTTGGGGAGGTAGATATATAATTCAGGTCTTTGAGGAGGCTGCTTTGTAAGATTCCTTTTAAATTTTCCTCCAGCTTGTCTTTAGTGCCAGATTACAAGGTAGACTGGTGAAAATTATTGTCTAAATCAAAAATTGGAGTTGCTTAACATGGGGGTTCTTTGTCAAGCAGAAAATCATACATATCCAGTGGATTTTCCCCCAGTATTTCACGGTAATATTGCAGAACAATTTTTTTTTTTTTACCTCACCTAAAGAGAACCATTTAACATGTTAAGATGTATTAGTAAATAATTTAAGATAATGGTATAAGATTTTTTGAAAAGATGGACCTTACTAATATATGAAGTATGACTGTTGGTCTCTGCATTTCTCCTCCTGGAATTATGCTGGAACTCCAAAGCTGAAGTAACCATAGAAATATATCTTAAATTCATAGAACAAATTTGAGTCATTTAGCTACTTCACTGTTTGGGGCATATTATCTGTGTTTCTGACATCAGAGGGATGCACTTTACACACAATTGCATAGGCTGTGCTTTTTATTTTGCCCAGCTGATCGTGTGAGCCATTCATGACGACCAGGTCCTATGTGAAAAGATAATTCCGTAAACTGTAGTATTACCATATTGTTGCGATAGGTGCTTTGTTGCAAAGTCTAGGATTTTTTTCCAGTGTATGGCATGTGAAAATGATATGTGGTTACTGACATATTCTTGCATTTGTCCTCCCTCTGTGGGAAATCTTAATAATAAACCATCTCCTTCCCTAAACTTTTAAAGTATTCATAAGCGTTTAAATGCAATTAAATATGTAGGAAAATAACAATCACAAATTACTTTTTTAATAATAATGCTTTAGATATGTTTATTTTAAGATTAGATTAAATCTGGAGTTCTGTACTTATAGAATAACCTATAAGACTATAAAATCATTTCCCTATTTTCTGGTTCTCTAAGTAGTGATCATCTTTTGAGGCAAAGAGAAATGGTAATTAAAGAGACATGGGGATTGTCAAATATTTTAGCTAAGCATATAATCTTTAGAGGCCTTATGTAATATATTATCTAGGATAATGCTTTTTTTAACTTGAGCTAGTCCACTTTCTATTTTCCTTTCTAATTTCTAAAGAGAAAGGAAAATGGAATTTAGTTATGATTATTCAAGATAATATGACATTAATCTTGGTATCAATTTCTGGAAAAAATTCTGGCCTATCTACTATTTGCTTCTCAGAAAATACATTTTATGTAAATTCAGTCCATTTTAAAGGCAGAATGTTAGACGGTGATCCAGAAATAGAACTGTTAAATAAACCAGTTCAATTAAAGGCACTGAAGATCTAGTAATGAATCTAGGAAATAAATTCTTACATGTTTGCAGTTGGGTTTTTGTTTGTGACAGTGACGTTTCGTATAATGACTTGCCTCTTGCACCACTGTGTTATCTTGAGAGCCATATCATCTGTAGAGAAAGGCGGATGGAGTGTGAGCATTCCTGAAAGTGCTTGCTTCTTTGAGATTGGCCCATGGAGCCAATTGAGAAAAAGAAGAGCCTGAAACATGAGGCTCTTCATTTGAGAATTAGCCTGTTTATGTTGCCTTCCTTATCATAGCAAATTCAATAGATTTGATTAGCAGGTACAATTTATTTTTCTGAGTATTTTACCAACATTTCTTAAATTACTCTTGGTAACATGATTATGCTGGGTGGAAACATACGAAGCTTTAGCAGTGTCATACATTGAGCTAGACAAGCTGAATCTGTAACTGAGGAATTTTGATTTACAAATGAGTCTGCCAGTGAGAAAATACTTACCTATAATCTTTCAAAGAGCTGTTAAATCTCATTGTAGAGTCTTGATCTGTGTTCATTAAGTACAGTATACAGTTCAGCCTATGTGTGAGTGTTAAATTGGAAGTGGTATAATTTTAGAAAAATTCAGAACTGGCCTGAGCTGCATCTGGCATGGGTGTCATGGAGTTGTTGAAGACTGCCTGTGGCCCACCTTCAGTAGCACCTGAATGGCTCCTTTCCAGCTGGGACACAGGCACCCTAATGCAAGGGTGGGTGTTACATGCCACATCAAATGCTGGGATTCAGCATTCAAGCTACTTAAATTCCACTGACATGATTTTGGTTTCTCAAACTGAAAAACCAAAAGAATATTTGAGACTGTTGTCATCCTAATTTAGGCTTCTTCATATCGAGTACTTTTGCTTTTCTCATCTCAGTGTCATTTGTCTCTGCTTATGAGTTATTGTGTACTGGCCTTCTACATGTCAGTTTCATCTCTTCACAGTTGGAATGCAATTATTATTTGTATAGGCACGTAACCCTTGTGTGTTCACTGTGATCAAATTTTCAGAAATATCATTTATGTTTAGAAAGTATATAGATATATCTAAAAAATTTTTTTCTGTTGTGCTGTAATAATAATATATACTGTTTTGAAGATGTGGTAAAATTCTGTGACCTGCCAGGTTGGATATTTATACTTTCATCTTCATCTTAAAACTTCACCTTTTGAAATTCAAACCTCTGAAAATCATTAGTATGAGTGTGTTGGACACCAGTCGTCTTCTGTAACTAACAAATACCCCAGATTCCTCTTCCTTCACCTTATGCCATACATCTGTGTGTTTGGGTTTCCAGGATGCCATGTGGAAGAGGTATGAACCTTTCTTCAGCCCCAAGAAGGAAACTTTAAACATGTTGTGCACAATAAAATTTCAGATTAAACATTACAAACAAGGGTGTTCAGACTAGAAATACATGCTCTTCTGAACTTCCATGTTGCAAATATGGGACTCCTGGTGTGTAACTCCTGTCATACACCCAGTGTATGAGGAAAAGTTCTTGCAGCTTTCTCACTGCCCTTCTGTATTGCTGCCTGGCCATGTTCTATTCTTAGAATTGAAATATGAAATTTTCCTTTGACGTATGTTAATGTGGAAGTTGATCTTATTAAGTTTGGAAATCCTTTGAGGTTTATTCAATAAGTGTATTGGAGCTGCTTACTCTTCTGCTAATACTGTACACTGTTGAACTGAGAACAGTTTTACTGTTTGTGGGACTTTGTTGGTTTTCTAATACCATATTCTATGTCCCTGTGCAATCAAGGTGTCACTTCTTTAAGATCTTGTATAATATGGCCTGTCATATACATGTAGGTTAGAGCCATTTGGTACAGCATGTGATTTACAGAGGAGATTAGACTGTTTCTGTTGAACTCAACCCGTGTTAAAAATTTTCCGAAGTGATATGATAAAAATTTCTTGGGTTTTGTAAAGTGTTGTAGTCTGCCTTGCTGATATTTCAATAATATTGCTTTTATGGGGGAGGAACTTAGGAAATAAAAACTTTGCCAAGTATGCGAATCTTACTGGTTTTTGAGGCCTGTATGGTATGCACAGTTAGTTGTGTGTATAACTTGTATATTTGAAGCATAAACTCACCTTCCCTCCTGCTTCCATTGTACTTTTCTTTTCATGTCAAGTTCTCTCCACCTTGATGCCTAAAAGGTTTCTATTATATATACACTCTGCACCCTTTATGGACTTAAATGAAGTGTGGTTATTGTGTGTTTCTGAAGTGTTTAGGTTTTCCTTTATTGACCTACTTAATAATAGTGTGTTTATAACTACAGATGATCCAAAAATTTAGTGCTTCAATGTAGTGCATATATATATATGTATAACTCATAATATTTCACATGTAGAATTCAAAATCAGAATTAACAACCAATAAAAAAACCCACACATTTTCATCGTGTGTTCTTGAAGACACCTAAACTCATATCTAATAATTTCTGAATCAGCAATCCCAGTTCATTTAATTGATTACAGTTTGGGGCTTTTGGAAAGCCTCTCAGATTGAGGATTCAGAAAGAAAATTCAGATCCAGCCACTTTGGCTGACTAGCCCTTAGCCTCAGGATGGTCAACAGCACTTCACAGTATAACCAAAGAAAGTGGTGATTTGTATAATCAACTTACTCATAAACATTCTCATGACGAATCGTCTCACAGTGGTCAAAATCCCAAGAAACTGTTAATCTAAAACCTTTCTGAACGTTAGCTTGGCTCATTAAGTTCTTGTACTACCTGCTTTTCATATAATACGATACACACATGACTGCACATCTAATGGGTGGTGTTAATATTGCGCTAAAGAAAAAAAAGAATGGAAGAAATTGCTTTTAGAAAAACCCAATGTTGCATTTTCATCAGAACATGAGAGCTGAAGTGTTGTGATTTTAGGTGGGGTGAGGATAAGGAGGCCAGGAAACATATGCCTTCTCTTGTTCTGCCCATATTTGTTACTTAAACCAACATAGTAATATAAAGGCTGCCAGTATGAACACCAGATAAACAATGGAAATTGCACAGAACTTGATATTATCTCAGCCAAGAAGATAGTTTGGATCTACAAGTGATGCTGCTCTCAAAAATGCGGATGTGCCCTCTGACAGTGTTCCAGCCTTCTTTTCCCTTGTTTTTGTGTCGTGTGCCAGCTCACACTCTTCCTTAATGCTGCGGCTCTGTGTTTGTCCCTCAGACAAGTTGGATGGCTTGAGAACTGGTACTAAAAGGAAACGTGACTGGGAGGCTATTGCCAGCAGAATGGAGGATTATCTTCAGCTCCCTGATGATTATGACACTCGTGCTTCTGAGCCTGGGAAGAAGAGGGTAAGAGACTGTCAATAACTACCAACAGATAAAGGGCCCGTTTAGCCATCTGGTTTTAGAAAGTATAGTCAGATAATCATATGAATGCTGTTTTTTTTAGAGTGGTTTGGTTTATACTGTATCATATTACACATTAAAAAAAGAGTCCTTACAAATGATCAGATCAAAATGTACAAGTAACTTAAAAAATGGAGAACAGAACCTCACATGGCTAGCATGTTGTCAACCTTAAAGGAGTTTGGAATGGCTGCTTGTGCCATTTTGTCATGGGGCAAAAGAGCCAGGTGCAAAGTAGAGTATTAAAGAGAATCTATGGGACTTCTTAATGGATTAGATGTAGAGGGTCCAGGATGGATGAAATCAAAGGTGACTCTTCAGGGTTCTGGCCATAAGCATTCCATGTATGTGATGCCATTTACTGAGTTAGTGAAAAGTAGGGGAGATGTAAGCTTGGGAGTGAAAAATCAGAAGTTCAGGGAGGTACCAGTTAAGTTAGAAGTGGTAATAGGACTCAGGTCTCCAAAATTTAGAAGTTCAGATAGAGGTAAATGTTTTAAGAAGTAAAGAATACTCCATTGTTAAATGATACAGGGAAGACAAGTAAATTGAGAAAAGAGAAATAGCCATTGGATTTGGCAACATGGAGATTGTTGATGTTTGATCAAAAAAAGTCAAGCTTTCTTAGAGAGTTGAAGGACAGAAGCCAGTTTGGAGCAGATGGTAGAAGAATAGGAAATGAGGAAGTGCAGAGCAGCAAATGTAGATAACTTTTTGAAGAAGCTTTGCTATGATAGGGAGCAGAGTAATGAAGCCAGGATGTCGGATAAGTCTTTCACGTAGATGTCAAATTCAATAAAAGGGATAATTGTATATATCCTTTAAAACAAAATAAAGTAAGAGGGATCATATTACATACGATTTGCATAAACCTTTTCCAGCTAGTCTGTCTTGATCTTTCTATTTAAGTATATACAAACCTACAGTTCTTTTTATTATTATTTTTTTGGCTGTGCCACGCAGCTTACAAGATCTGAGTTTCCTGACCAGGAATTGAACCCCGGTCCTCAGCAGTGAAAGCACAGAGTCCTAACTACTGGACTGCCAGGGAATTCCCTACCGTTCTTTTTAAATGCCTGCCTAGTGTGCCCTTGTTTGGCTGAATAATCAGTTATTTATCCAGTCCCTTATCAGTGGATGCTTATGCTGTTTTCATTTTATTGCTAATATAATACTCTGGTGAAAGTCATATGCATACATCTTGGCATCTTTTTGACAGTATATCTCTAGGGAATATTTTTAGTCTTAAAGCTGCAAGCTCATAGAATATGGTTTATCATTCTGACAGATATTGTGAGATTGTTTTCCAGAAAGGTTGCGCCTATTTATACACCCACATGTAAGGAAATGCCTGTTTTTCCACACTTGCACCAGCAGTGCTGTGATTGAACTTTTTAACTTTTGATAATCTAATAGGTGAAAAAAAAATGGTATCTCATTTTTCATTTCTCTAAGTAAGAATGAAGTTAATAATAATTTCTTTGTCATTACACATCATTTCTTTTTTATGAATTCCCTTAGTAATTCAATATTAAAAGGATATTTATTAAGAGAATAAAAATGCCAGTAAAACTTCATTACAGTGGATACCATTACAAAGGACTCCAGGTTTCAAAGCTCTTTCAAATATTGCAGACAGTCCCTAGACCTGCCCTTGTCTGTGTCTTGAGACCTGGTTAGTGGCCTTCCGTATGTGCCCAGCTCCACGCAGGGACTACTTGTCTTGATACCTCTTATTCCAGTTTTAAGGTTGGGGCAACAGAAAAGTAGAAATAGCTCTTCCTTGGGCATAATAATTTGGTGTAACAGTGAATAATTCCAAATGAGAAATATTTTTCTCTAGTTCATTTTTAGTCAGGTAAGTATTACTCTCTTCAATCAGGAGTATGTGATCCCATGTAATTTACTCTGTAAGCTGGGTGGACAAAGAGCATGAGCGGT